GACTGCAGGGGGCTCCCAGTGTGACAGTGGTTAATACCGGTGACAGGTGACAGGATGCAGCTGTGTTACTGCACGTGGGCCGAGCAGACAGGCAAGCCTTACGAGGCCGGTTTATGATTCAGAAGGTCTCGTGTAATCCTCGAGTAGCCGCCCAGTCATTCGAGAGGCCCTTGTCAGCCGGTACTCGCTTGTCCCCACGGCTCTCGGCCGACAGACCTTCTGTCTCCGCAGTCAGGACCGAAGCCTGGGAGATACTTTGCAGCCAGTTTTTCCCTTTCATCCCGCAAGCCAGCGCCAGTGAAATTTGGGAATGGGGACGCGTCTGGCAGTTTCCATTCCCTAAGTGCGGAGAACCTCTCTCCGTGGCTTCCCTGCGCGCCGGCGCTGTGACTCATCGCGGCCAGGCGGGAAGAGACCCCGAGCGGCCGCGGCGCTGATCCCGCTGTCCCAGTGAAAGTGCCGTTTGTTTTCCAGGGAAGCCGATAGTGTTTCCTCACGTCAGTCCTCCTCTGGTGTCAGAAAAAGAAAATTAAATTCTTTGAGACTGATATACTCGAAGGAAAAAATCTGCAGGAAAGAAAGTAAGGAAATTATTACCGATGTTTTTTTTTAAAATATGAATCTGTCTGTGGTTGTGGAAGTACTGCCAGGCAGTTAACATTTTTGGTTCTGTGTGAGTTCTAGTCCTTCTTCCATCTATAAAAATTGAGAAAAATAACCCTTGAAATCTGACCTAATTTGAAATGCTGTTAGATGTAGACTGAGGCGTTTTTTTTTTAAAGAAAAGCTGATTCCAGACGGGCCAGGAATCTGGTCTTGTGATGGTGCCTCCCTTTGTCATCCATAAGACTTGAGCTCAGTTCGGAGTCTCTGACCTGACCTCTGACCCGGAGACACACAAGGCTAACAGGCAGCTCCTGTGAGAGGGAAATCGGACATCTCTTCTAGCATCAGCGTCCTTTCTGCGTCTCCCTCATGCGCCATTCAAGTACAGTCCACCAGCTTCTCCGATCAGTCACCCTTCTGCATTTTCTGCGGGGGTGGGGGGCACTACGGGGGTGTGGGGCAGTGGGGGGCGCTGTGGAGCAGGCGAGCTGTGGGGGTGTGGGGCAGTGGGGGGGACTGTGGAGCAGGCGAGCTGTGGGGGAGTGGGGGGGAGTGTAGGGGGAGTGTCGGTAACGAGATACTGCGAACTGGCCTGAAAAAATCTCAGCTTGTTTTTTCCAAGCAGGATCATGTGATGTTTAAATCTCTTCACATGGCTTAACTTGGCTCCCTGTCTCATTCTTTTTATTCCCTGTAAACAAAACCCCTCAAATCTGATTAGACCTCCATTTCTCCTGCTTTACCTAATAGGCGCTATAATGTCTCTCATTGTGCCCTGGGCTCACACTTGGGCCATGGAGCCCTGGGATCTGACCAGCTCTTGCTGGGAATCGGATTAGAGTCGTCCGAGAGGCTTTCCTGCATCTGTCTCGAAAGTTTTAAACCTCTTTTTATTGCGCAGGGTCAGGGGCGGCTCGTGGGGCTTCGTGTCCGCCACAGAGCAGCTGACCCGACAGAAACAAAAGATGCTGAAGGTTTCTTAGGTTTCCTCCAGCTCCTGACAGCACTTCTGCGCGCTTGTCAGTGTGATGAATGGCTTCATGAGCACGAGGCCTTGCAGAGCCTGGTCTCTGAAGAGCAGGGCGAGTGTGCTCGTGCCGTTTGTCAGTGTGTTGCCGCATGGGATCGGGATAGTCTGCGGATTCCCACATTGGGATAACGCAAACCCTCCTGCTGCGCTCCAGTGACAGTCTCAAACATCCCACCCTGGTCCTGGGCCACTGGCGTCTCTGCAGGATTTCAGGACACCTCAGTTATCTCGATCTTCACCGGACCTCTGCCTGAACAAGTCTCTCCGTGAGGTGTGGCTGGTATTGGCTGCACCCAGCTGTAGGGAGACCCAGGAGACCAGCGGGCCCGTTGGGCACACTCTTTCAGGGATAACAGTGCAGGTGAAAACGAGAGACGTGTAGTGGACGGGTCTTGGAGCAGCGGTCCCTGTGCCTCCAGTGTCTCCTGTACGTACAGACGCACAGCAGTCCTGTGGCGCTGACCCGCGGGCTCTTTTAGAACCCTCTGGGGCAGCCCTGACCGCTGTACAGTCCCCCAGTCCCCTTGTCCTGTAGCTGGACACAGGACCAGCCCTTGTGTCGAGGCTCAGGACGTGTTGCCTGCCTGCTGCTTCACAGCCGGTCAGAGAAGTTCCTGTAGTCAGGCATGTGCTGTTGTAGAAAGGAACAGAGCGGTGATTAAAAAAACACTCTCTCAGTCCTGTAAGTAGAATTGGCCAGCTTTGAAATTCCTCGGAAATGGACTACTCGGACAGTAATGTGTCTGCTCTGCAAGAGCAACAGTCTGTTCAGCAGCTGCAGTCATGTGCAACCGCGCTGCCACCTTGTGGCCAGACTGCGTAGTGCCGCGTTGTGGTGCGCTCCTTTTTCTTCTGAAAATGTTTTTATTCTGGCGCTACTGGAAATCAGAAAAAACACCGATTCAAAAGCGTATCGGTACCGGCTCTGCAGCATGAGCTTGCGGAAAGTCTTCACGGCGCCTCCTGCCCTTCTCGCCACCCACAGGGAAGGACAATGCCCGCCTTCAGCTGGACAGCGCGCTGCAGGACGTCAACGAGAAGTACGTGGTGCTGGAGGAGACGGAGAAGAGGGCGGTCTGCCGGGCCCTGATCGAGGAGAGGGGCCGGTTCTGCTCCTTCGTCTCCATGTTGAAGCCCGTCCTGGTGAGCCCAGTACCATGTCGGGGGGGTGTCAGTCGTAGGTGTTGCCTCCTGCCAGGCTCCCTCGCTCTCCGGCTGTGCGAGCGACCCATTTGAGAGTCTGCAGTCGTGGACCTGACCGTCACTGGAGTCAGGACTCCCGCTGGCCGGAGGTTTAGAGGTCAGAGTTGAAGAATAGGAGAAATGTTGGCTGAAATAAACATGGATCTCAACCACACACTGGCACACATTCCACCAGGTTGGGCTGGCTTAGGTCATCGACAGTTGAAGGGCTTTGAAAAGCATTAACTGTTCCTTCCAGGATAGATGTTGGTTCAGTTGAGTGAATAGGAGCTCAGCTCCTAATGAAATCCTGAAGGTGTTGCAGTTGTGCACCAGCAATCGGAACCGGTCAGATCCAGTATCCTGTAGAAGCCCAAGAGACCCAGTGGAGGGGCGCTGCCCAGGCAGAGAGAGCATCACAAACCCCTGAGCTCAGGACAGGCCTGACTGCATGGCCACTACATATGGCTTGTAGTGACCCAGCTCAGCCTCTGACACCACCTCCCTCCCCCCCCCGCCAGGATGAAGAGATTGGGATGCTGGGAGAGGTGACCCACCTGCAGACCATCCTCGAGGACCTCAGCACCCTGACCGCTGACCCCAACAAGCTGCCCCCCGCCAGCGAGCAGGTGAGCCGCCCCCGGCTTCCCGCAGTCCTGCGAGGAGCTTCAGAGCAGCTGGTGGAAGGAAACCGTGGAGGTTGGGTTATTCGGAAGAAGAATAAAGACCCGATCGGCCGGCAGCCACAGGGGTGGGCGGTGCCTTCCCCTGGCACAGCTCCCACGTGGGAGGTGGTGGCTTGAGGCTGTGTGCTGCGCTGGGCACCTCTCTGACCTTCTCTCTCTCCCTCTCTCTCTCGTTCGCAGGTGATCCTGGACCTGAAGGGCTCAGACTACAGCTACGCCTACCAGACGCCCCCAGCCTCCCCCAGCAACACGCTGTCCCGCAAGAGCAGCATCAGCAGGTAGACCCGTCAGCGCGCGTGCATGTGTGTGTGCTACACAGGACTCGCTCCCCGAAACAGATGGGATCCATCCAGTCGTTTCTCGATTGCTGACAAGGTGTCGGCTTCCGCCACAAGACATGGGAAGTTTATTCCAGACTCCCAGTACCAGCCACGGCCTCCTAATAATCCCCAGTTCAGAACTGGCTTCATCACTCTGTTCTCCTCCCCAGTGATGTAGCTGGTGTGTGTTGAACACTGAGGCTGCCGTTGCATTATCCAGGTGGTACCGTTGGTGGCAGAAGTGGGATTCCCCGTTCCATGTAAAGCGCTTTGAGTGGAGTGTCCAGAAAAGCGCCTTATAAGTGTAAAGAATCATTATTATTACTGTTGGTATTGTTTTGTAAGTAATTTGAAATCTGCAACTTGTCGAAAGCTGCCTGAAACGGTTTAAAAACAAGATCAAGTTTAATTAGAAATACAACTAAGGGGTCTGTCGACTAACTGGGAGGGGATCTGCAGCCAGCGCTAGAAACTAGAGGACCCAGGATGGGGCAGCCCTGTGAGGTCTCTCTCCTCAGGGCTGTGAACTGAACTCCTCTCTCTCTCTCGCCCTGTCTGCCACCCTTGCAGTAACTACCAGCCTGCCTCGGTGCGCCACGTCCCCTCCCTGGACTCCATCTCCAGCGCAGTGGACGGGATTCACCTGCGGCCGCCCTCCGGACTCCAGACCCCCGACGGGACCACGCAGGTACGTGCACGGGATGAGGGGGGTGGGCCTGTGGGCTCTCCGGACTCGTGAGCAGGCGACCTTGGTGCACTGCGGTTGGCGAGAAGGTGACTTGAGTCTGTTACAGAGCAGCACCGTTGCCGCATCAGCAGGCTGACAGGGTTCTGCTGGAAGTTCCAGTTCCAGGGCAGGTCTTGGGATCACACGGCAGCCCGAATGCCTTAGTCCAGTATTCCCAACCCCAACTCCAGGTTTAGCTGCATGTCCTCGGTAACCCAGTGCAACATCCGGGCTGCTGACATGCTTTTCAGGGTCCTTCCCACTCCAATGGTAGCTCCCAGCACGAGAGAGCAGGAGAAAACTGTCATCTCTATGAGCATCATGCAGGGTCTGGTGCACAAGCTCTGGGCAGCAGTGTGATGGACTTGTCACTGCAAGGTTAAGGGTTCACATCCCAGGCGTGACACTGCTGTTGTACCCTGGAGCAAGGCGTGTCGTGGGAATCGCTCCAGCAGATGGTCCAGCCTTATGTAAGGCGCTTTGGACAGTAGTGTCTGCCAGGTGAAATGAGTAAATTGGAAGAGCGCTGGCCTGTCTGCCCCCCAAGTAAAGAGGTGTCCAGGGCGGCTGGTATGTCACTGGGTGGATCTCAGTGTTTCCTTTTTCAGGACTTGAAAACGCGGCCGATTCTGAGAAGGACGTGAAGTAAGGTGTCATTTAAGATGAGCTAACGGCACTTTTTTAACTCGCCCTCCCAACCTCTGGGGCCCCCCCTCTCCCGAACAGCGCTCGCCCAGCCCGCTGCGCGCCGAGGCCTGGGAGGGCAGCCGGTCCCTGAGTGAGGGAAACTCCCCCACCTCCGCCCGCTCGGTCCCGGGGCTCGGCTCGGCTCACCTCAGCCTGCGGATCAACAAGAGCACTGTGAGCCCCCTGTTGCATGGCCACCCCCCTGCCTGCCTGCCTGTTTGTGTCCGAGATGCATTTCCCATCCCGTGTGCCTGTGGAACTCGCCATCCCAGAATCCCCCTTCACCCCGGAGCTGTGCTTGGCCGGAGGCCGGCCCAGGAGCCCCGCCAGTCCGGCTCCCCTGCTCTGGCTGGCGGCGCGGCCGCGTGCGGGCAGGGGCCTGTGGGGTGTTGTGTTGTCCGCTGTGCTGTGACCCTCCCTCCCCGTCAGCCCTCTCCCGCGCGGAGCCCGGCAGGGCGAGGGGGCGGGGGGACGGCCGTCGGAGCGGGGCGCGGGTGTTTCCGGGTGACTGACGCGCCGCTCCGCTCTCTCCCCAGGAGCAGGTGGCCAACAGCCTGCAGCCGCGGCCCGGAGACGCCCCCCCCGGCGGCGCGAATGGCACGGCCGCGGCCCCCCCTCCGCTCGCCTGCTCGCAGCCCGGGGAGCGGGCCCGGGCCCTGTCCACCTCCGGCAAGGTACTGACCCGCCCAGGGAGTCAGAGGGGTGCAGTCGAGTGCTTGTGTCAGCTGTCGGGGCGGTTCCGTCTCTTTTAGTCTCCGAAGAGACGGGTCGGACGGAGAGCGAAGACCCGCGGAGTATTAGTTACTGGCAGGGACGCCAAGGGCGTATTTGTATATACAAATGCATAGGTATTCCATTCTGATACCTTAAAATGAAGTTAAAGCTGCAAAATGTACATGCCTTCGCATTTTAATAAGTCACAGTTGGAGTTCGACTTTTTCTGGTCATGATACTGGATATGAACACTAGATGGCAGCATTGCCTTCTTTTCAGAGCACAGCTCTAACACTCCAGCTCAAGGGCTGCACTGCCCTCTCCTGGCACCAGGGGGCAGTGTCGGCTCTCCCAGCTGCTGTTCCGCTACCAGGGGGCTGAGGTGTTCACTCCGTGTGTGCTGCTGCTCTCTCCACAGCCCCAGACAGCCAGGGAGCAGCTGGCCCTGACCCTGAGTGGGGGCCTGAATTCGGAGGCCCCCCGTTCCAGCCGAGACTCGCTGCACTGCTCCAGCGGATACAGCACCCAGACCACCACCCCCTCCTGCTCTGAGGACACCATCCCCTCGCACGGTCAGTGCTCTGTGCGCTGTCCGTCAGTCTGAGCGTCTGGGCAGCTCTACACAGCCTGTCTGTGTCCGTGTCCCGCATGGTTAGCTCCTCTGCCTGTCTGTACACTTGGCCAATCTGTGACTCTGTCACTCTGCTGCCTGCCCCCTTCGCTGTCCTCCTCTCTACCCCCCTCGCTGTCCCTCTTTGCTGTCCTCCTCTCTGTCCCTCTTCGTTGTCCGTCTCCCTGTCCCTCGCGGTCCTCCTCTCTCCCCCCCCCTCGCTGTCCTCCTCACTGTCCCTTGCGGTCCTCCTCCTGCCCTACTGTCTCTCTCTCTGTCCTCCTCCCTGCCCCTCGCTGGATTGTCCCCTGTCTCTCTGTCTTCAGGGTGTCGGTACTCTCTGCAGGACACAGGTTACCAACACTTTCCCAGAATTTAGAGTAACATTTCTGAATGTCAATAATGTTATAAGACCAGGCTGCAGCAAACATCATAGCCTTGACAGTGTTGTGCTTTTAATGTCCTTGGTTATTTTCAATAGAATAAACTCTGTTATCATTTAGCTATTTATTAATATGCTCTCTTCGTGAGCACGTCTTAATTTCGGCAGCAAGCTGAATTTAATTTTATATTCTTTTTCAGCTGTAAAGAAAGAACCACCTCTTTATGGTAGGTTTCTGTCTGTTCTAGAATTTCACTTTTGTTTTCTTTTCGCAATCACGGTGCCACACCTGTGGTGTGATTTTTTTTCTGCTGTATGATGCCATTTCGTGGTTGTAACGAGGAGATGAGGGCCTCCCGCCAGAACACTGTGTCTCAGTTCTCGGTGCCGGTGTTTCGCAAGCTACCTGTCAGAACAAGACGGCCGCATGTGCCTGGGTGTTACTTAGCTGGGGGGGGTCCCATCACAGAGTCAGCTGCTCAGTCGCTGATAACTGGGTTTGTTTTCCGAGATCGAGCACAGTGGCCCAGTGCATGTTTGAAGAGGCTGGGATTGGTGTGAGCTGGGAAAATGGGCCATTTCCATTACTGAGTTTTTTTTATTCAACTTTCTGCCACAGTTCCGTATGCATGCGTGTGTACACCTGGACATGCAGGTTCATGCACAGTTCACGTGTCAACATTTTCATTCTGGACTCGCCAGTTGTTGTCCCCCCCCTCCGTGTCTGGAAACGGGCCGAGCTCTCTGGTTCCTCTAACCTAGCAGGGTGCCCCGCGGGTTCAGAGGCCTCCCGGGTCACCCGGTCACAGTAGCATGGTGGCCCGGCCCAGAGCGGTTTTGCTGGAAGAATATTGCCTCTTATCTGGGGGGTCCTAGATAGATCCGAGCCCCCGCCGCCAGGCGCGCCAGCCGCAGGCCGTGACGCCCCGTCTTCTGTCCCTGTGTTGCAGACTACGACTACATCTCCCTGCACGGCGGGGAGGAGGAGCACGACCAGCCCGACTTCGACAAGTCCTCCACCATCCCGCGCAACAGCGACATCAGCCTGAACTACCGCAAGATGTTCCAGGCCAAGCGGCCGGCGTCCACCGTCAGCCTGCTGGCCGACCCCGAGCCCCTGCTGCGCCCGCCGCACGTGGCCACCATCCGCCGCAAGCCCTCCAGCAAGCCCAGCTTCCGCCGCGGCACCATCAGCGGCGGGGTGCCCATCCCCATCAGCACCCCGCAGGTGCCCATGCGGGCGCCGGGCCCCTGCCCCCCGCGGGACGGCCTGGGCGCGGGGCGCAGCGGCAGCGAGGAGGCGGTGTGCGGGCC